GCTGCACAGCAGTTCATTACAACCGCACATATTTGCACTTTACAGCTGCATAGCAGTGCATTAGAGCCATGCAGATTAGTGTATTACAGCTGCATAGCAGTGCATTACAACCGCACATATTTGCACTTTACAGCTGCATAGCAGTGCATTACAGCCATGAAGATTAATGTATTANTGCATTACAGCCATGAAGATTAATGTATTACAGCTGCATAGCAGTGCATTACAACCGCACATATTTGCACTTTACAGCTGCATAGCAGTGCATTAGAGCCATGCAGATTAGTGAATTACAGCTGCACAGCAGTGCATTACAACCGCACATATTTGCACTTTACAGCTGCATAGCAGCGCATTAGAGCCATGCAGATTAGTGTATTACAGCTGCATAGCAGCGCATTACAGCCGCGGAGATTAGCGCATTACAGCTGCATAGCAGGGCATTACAGCTGCGCAGATTAGCACATTACAGCTGCATAGCGGAGCATTACAGCCGTGCAGATTAGCGCATTACGGCTGTATAGCAGGGCATTACAGCTGCGCAGATTGGCGCATTACAGCTGCGCAGATTAGCACATTACAGCTGCATAGCAGAGCATTAGAGCCACTCAGATCATTGCATTACAGCAGCATAGCAGAATATTACAGCCGCAGAGCCACAGGGCCTGGCTGATCTGTCCGTCAGTCTGTTAATCAGGCCACACTCTTCCTGCTTTAGTGATGCAGGGAACCGTTCTCTGGCCCAATTGTGGCAGGCACAGTGCGACCAGGATGGGCCACCCACATGTCCGACTGCAGTTTCCCTGTGGCTCCAGAGAGACGGGTAGAGCCATTTGTCACCTTAGATGACATATCCAGGTTGAATGGATAACAGGGACACAATGATGCCTTTTTATGGAGCGTCACATTGAGAGAGACATCAGCAACCTGCCTACATGAGTAACAAGTGGTGAAATCCAGACCCAGGGAGCCGTGTGTTTTTACAAGCTGATGAATGGCTCCAAGGACACTTTCATGGTAACGTGAATGACTGGGAATCAGACATTTAAGCAAGAGATTTGAGTTTAATTGAGAGCATTTGTTTACAAATTCATTAAACTGCGTTACCCCTTTCACTGTATGGTTGAAGTTCTGTTTCAGTTCTAGTTATCTTATGAACAGACTTTTCATTTGAATGCAGAAAGAAAGGTGCATGTGACTCAGCTGGGCAGGGCCTTCCGCCCCTCCAGTCTTCCTGCAGAGGCCTTTAAAGCCACTTTCTCACTGGTCTATTGTTTGTTTACCAATCTTCAGGCGTAAAGAAAAAGTGGCAGGGCTCAAAATAAATCCCCCATCTCCTTGCTTAGGGACCTGATTTTAACTGCCAGCTCTAAAGAGACACAGACACTAGAGGAACTTTTAACACATAATTTATGCCCTGAGGAATCACCGTAATTAGCTCGCCTTGTCATTTTCTAAAGGTTTTTGTTTTTTTTTCCCTCCACCCAGCAAGTAATGAGCAGATACTAAAATGCTAAAGTAGGCGGGTTTTAAAATTAAAGCTATATTTGGTTAGGGAATATTTCCCGCCTACATGCTGCCTCATACCCGCTGTCCTGGAGAGATGAATCATAGTTTACATTCAGCAGTTCGACATTAAACATACTAGGACAAGAAAGAGTGCAAACAGCTCATGGTTAAGGTTGACATCTTTCTCGAAGGTATAACAGGTACTCTCCTGGCTAAAGATGACAGTTTTTGCCAAAATGCTACATGCTGTCATCAAGTGTCTTAGGTGTAAATCCATTGTCATTTTGATTGATCCCAGGGCACCTCTCTCAAGTCTAGCAGAAAATACGAGTAAATATACCTACTTCTAACATGTTCTCCTATAAGACATGTTGTAACGTGCAATACATGGAGCGCACACACCTGACGCGCGTAGGAATGAACGCAATGAGATGATCCGATATCGTGATAACCGATAAAGTGCCATATTTATTGTAGAATTTATCTATTTATCTTTATGAGGCATTTATTATTTATAACGTTATTATTTGTATTAGGTTCCTCTCTTTGTGTGTGTCCCAAAGATTTTGAGTGTTTAGTCCCTAATTCCATTTAATTCCAACATATAATTAATCTAGCATGCGATCTAACCGAAATGTTTATCTTTCGTTTACAACCGTAATGTTTTCATAGCGCCTATGTTAACACCTGTTACATGTCATGCATTTAGGCGTATTAGTGATACACGCGTTCTCCGTTATACCGCTTTATTCGAACATCGCGAAAGATTGCACGGTATCGTCCATCAGTCACGAAAACTTTTCGTGAGTATTCAGCAAGTTCTTTCTGGAATTTTCTATGAAACAGTACTCCTTTTAGTTCGATAATAAATCAGCGGAGCAGCTCTGCCCGGTCCATTAATATCCTCTTGTGGGCAATGACTTTGGGCTCCCTGCAAGTGAGATCGTTCTTAGTCAGGAACTAGAGGATAATTTAAGCTCAATTCATTGAATCGCCTCAGTGGTTAGGCATTGTAATTTAAATCATTTCAGCCCTGGAGGTACTTATGTTTTATCAGAGACCAGACAGAATGTGACACAGGCATGTAAGAAAACCTCAAACCTACAAGTCACGTGTGGCGTTGCACGAGGGGGGACTTACGCTGTTTACATACCGACAGCATCCTATCCAAATGACCTGCCAAATCACTGAGGCATGAACAACTAAGCTCTTATACTGACTAAAAAAGACGAAAAAATACATTTCTAGAAAGCTGAACCAACATGAATAGATGTGAACACATGATGACCATGTAGAATAAGATATCACGTGACCGGTCTTGTGATATGTTTCTGTAAGTATCACACAGGTGAACCTCTCACCCTACCTACACGTCCCGGATACAGTACAGCTCCCTGCCTGGAGTGTAGATTTTTATCAATGGAGTTCCGTGGATCTAGCAGACTATTCCTTATTTATAGATCCCGCCCCCCCGCCCGCTCGGCCTACAACAGCCAGAGTGAAGCGGGCTGCGCCTCTCCCCCGCCACACGGATTTCTCAGCATAGGGTGACTCAGTTCCGGCTGCACCCCCAGCACGCACACACCTCGCCGTGACCTGACTACAAACAGGCTCCTGACGTCAAGCCCCTTGTGGCCCGAGGCAGCATCACTCACACCGGCCGCTCGCTGACTCCGGAGTGCAGGCTTGCGGGCGAATGGAAACCGGCGGGCTTTAAAAAAAAAAAAAAAAAAAAAAACAGGAGCGTCATAATCAAGAAAAAAATCGACCTCAAGCCTATAAACAGAGTAACGGGACCTACGGATTTGTTTACAGAAATATACTTACGACCCCATGTCACAGGCCCAGGGGTGAGCAAGGCAGGACGCTGGGATATGGCTAAAGAAATAATGGGCAATTATATAGTTACTTTGCTTTTGGCTATATAGGTGGTACGAACGATCAGTTAGCCACACGCACAGGCTGCTTTATGAGGGATTCTGCCACTTTGTTAAGGACTTACCAAAGGCAGATGGAGACCTGCTTGAAACAGTGGGAATGATCTCTCAAACTGGTTCTAAGATATTTAATGAATTTGGTTATTAAATGTGATAATTTAGTTTCTGAACCTGGAGTTACCGTGTTGTTTAACATATGTCTACATTAACTTTCCAGATAAATGGAATCCATTAAATTCAGTTCCCTCTTCTCAAGAGATATATTCATGAATGCAAGAAAGAGGTGCACAGATAAATCAACATAGGACTTCATTGGAAAGGTCACTGAATTTTTTTTTCTGGTATGTAGGAAATGCGAAAGAAATTTGATGCACACTGCAGAAAAGATCATTCAACCACTGTATTACAGTATGTAGGCATATTGTTCATATTTTACAGGGTCGAAATATTGCTTGAAATCAATTCTGGGAGTGGCTTTACTGCACGCAGGGCAGGAATTGTGCGTTTTTATATAATACTGAATCAACAGAGACGGTCCAGCCTATCTTTGTCCCCGCAGTGGAGACGGCTGTGTCCGTTTGCTCTTTGCAGATTTGATGCGTGAGTCATCGCGAACTTAACCCTCTACCTCCCCAGGCAAAAGCTGAGCAGCTTTATTCTGGTAGCCAACGCTAAATGACTTTGACTAACGAGTCACCATGCTGACGCCCCCGGGGTCTGTTCATTTTCACATGCTTTTCACAGAGAACATGTAACATTTAAAAGGACGATAAAAAAATAACCCGATGTGAACTTACGACAGCAGACTCCATTCCCGAGTGCGCTTTTTGATCATGAAAATGTACTTGTTTCATAGTTTATATTTTAAGGGAGTTATGGTGATTGTAAAATTACAGATCCTATTATTGAAATAAATAGAGGAACAATGTTTTTTTCCTCCCACGGGAAGAGCCGCTGAACGATAGTAATCAGTATGATTGGGAACCATTAACATAATTATTTGGAGATTACAGTTTAAAGGCTGTATGAAACAATAATACAAAACTACCCGACCGCAAGCTTTAAATTTGAAAGACAACTTAGTGGCAGATTAATATGTGCATACATGAACAGATAAATATCCCAGAACTACTCCACATAGTTGAAAAGCTTATGGGGATGAAAAGCACGTATTATACAAAAGAACAAATAAAAAAACCTAGGTCAAATGAAAATAAATTTAAAAAGTTAAACAATCATTCAACAGCAAAACAAATATTGCTGTTTGATGACGAATTTTAGCAGCATTGAGAAGCGTATCGTGTGTGTTTTTGTATTGCTTTTAATAAACAAAACGTGTGTATTCATATGCTTTTGATAAACCGATCAAGTGAATATGCCTTCTATGAACCGATCGTGTCTGTGTTTGTATGCCTTTTGATAACCGAAGCATGTATGTATTCATATGGCTTTTGATAAACAAAGCCGTTGGTGTATTTTGCGGATTTGATAAATAAAGCACGCATGTATTTCCACGGGCTCGCTATTACGTATATGGTCGTGACGCAGGCGAAAGGTGGCGCCTCTTATAACGGGGAGCTGTCCCGGTGCTGAAGAGAGAGACGCCAGGACTGGGATGCGACTCGCAGGCGCAGATCAGCGCTAAATCACGGCAGGTAAGCGGGCGCCTCCCCTAGCGCTTTTCTATGCAGAGACGCGCATTTGTATATTCTTAAGGCTTTTCGAGCGCTTATTCTTGCGATTGTGCTTTCCAACCTGATGCATATCCTTGTTCAACAGACTCAGTTAATAACTAGTTTAATTTAAAAACTGGCAGGTAAAAATAACTAAAACTAGTAAAATCACATACATTAAATATCAAACGCAGTGACGATGATTAGAGTTGTATTTGTTTAAAATACTATTCCAGATTTTTTATATATACTAAGTGATACCGAGTTGATTTCCGGAGTGTTTGATTTTCTGTACTCTTAATGCCGTTTACAATGTAATAAATGCGGATTTTTCATGCGTGTAGCGCCGGGTTACCTTGACAACCAGCAGTGACTCATTCGCCGGAGCAGCAATTTGAAGCGTAATGAGATTTTACAGGCTGGCTAAATTCTTATGTAGTTATTGTTGCACTAACAATCATATTTTCCCTATCAGCCCCTTGCTTGTCTGTTTCTGTAAATGGAGTACAAAACAAACATACACGCCTGCGGATAACGAAACCGATGTTAGATGTATGATTCTGTTTGTTTGTTTTTTTACAAAGAAGGCTAATTTGATTACATGGATTTGTTAAGCAGCGTCAAGCTAATACACTCGTATAATAGAGCTGGTCTGATTTGCATTCAACTTCTGTCTGACATAATAGAACGATAAAGAAAAATCTGTGTAATATTACAGTTGGTTTGAAGGGTTCAAATATTGTTCGCAAAGCTTGAGGCTGCTGGAAAAGAGACAACAGATCAAACTGGTTTAATAAGATAATGTCTTTTTTCATTTAAGGTTCAAAGTACTGCTGAGGACCCAGTGAACAGCTGAGATTTGTTATACAGCAACTCGGTAAACATAATGCTCATGTTGTGATTGTTGCCTTGTCAGTTCTAGGCAACATGACGTTACCGCTCCCCAAGATGCATGTGGCTGCGGCTTTCCTGCTGCTTGCCGCTCTTCGCCACACGTGCAGCGTGCAGGGCGCCTCCCTGTGGCAGTCGAAACCCCGAGGCAGTGGGGCAGAGGGCAGCCACGGCCGGCCCTACCTGGTTCCGAGCACTGATATGGTTAAGGCTCTGGAGTACATCGAAAGCCTCCGGCAGCAGACACGTGGGGACGATTGGCCCGCCACCGACTACAGTGACCTGGAGCGGTTCCGCTCACTGCCGCTCGCCACCGCGTCCGAGCCAGAGGAGCCGAGCCAGGACGCCGCTGCCAGCTGGCAGGACGATCGCTCGCAGCAGTGGCTTAAGGTGCTGCTGAAGACTCTCCAGCAGGCAGGCAACGAGCCAAAGGCCACGGCGGCTCTCACCAGCCCACGGCAGGCATACGGCGACAGGCCACGCCCTGAAGATGACACCGACGACAGACCGGCGGCCGACGAGGGCGACTATGAGGGTGCGCCGTGGTCTGAGCATCAAAAGCTGCCCAAGAAATACCCTCTGATGTTTGAGGATGAAGACTCCCGGGAGAGTCCTTACAAACGCACAAACGAGAACGTGGAGGAGCAGTACACTCCTCAGAGCCTGGCCACCCTGCAGTCTGTCTTCGAGGAGCTGGGAAAGATGTCTGGCCCCAAGACTAATAAGAGGCACAGCATGGACGATGAGCTGAGGCTCTACAGGGGTGATGATGACGATGATATCTACAGGGTAAACAACATGGCATATGAGGACGTGACCGGGGGTGAGGACTGGACCCCAGTGGAGGAGAAAGTGGAGACAGAAGAGGAGGTGAAAGGTAGCCGGGAGGAGTTTGACAGGGGGTCAGATGAGAATGACGGCAACAGCATGAAACGTTCCAGCATGTCGGGGAAATACGACGAACAGGAAGAGCCAGATGATGTCACCAAACTAGTGGATTACTACTTGCTGAAGATCCTGGAAAAGACTGAGCAAACAGAGAACAAGAGGGACAGAGTGGAAGAGCAAAACCCATTTTCGTACAACATAAACCCCCAAGCCATCTACAGGCTGATTGACATCTCCCGGAAATTACAAATTCCCCCCGAGGACCTCATAGATATGCTGAAGAATGGGGAGATAAAAACACAAGACAAAAGGCCGGAAGCTGAGGAATATGCAGACCTGGACAGGGCGGAGGAGCGGCTAGCTAGGATCGCATCTTCCCACAAAGACATGACTCCCACCGCTAAGTTCTACAGCAGAAAAAAGCCAGAGATCCTGCCAAATGACTTTCCTGATGACTTGAACACAGAAGATATATTAAAAATTCTTGGGCTGGAAAGTCTGGCCAATCAGAAAGCAAAGTACTTGCTGAAGCAGAAACACAGCAAAAACACCCCCCCTGGATTGTACTCCCCTAGCGGCAGACAGGGAGATTTTGTCGGCCCTGAACTGAGCAGCATCTCTGACAAAAGAAAATCAGATTATGACGATGCCATTGAAGAAGAACTCGCAAGTCATCTTGCAGCCAAGATGTTAGCGCAGTACCCGAAAATGCTTAAGAAAATGGACCTGAAGCGGGCCTCGCGGCCTGCCTCGCAGGAGCAGCAGCAGGCTTTCGATACCCTGTTGCAGGATTACTTTGACCAAATCACACCCGATAAAAGCCTGCCTTCGAAAAGGTTATCGGAGGCCGATGATGCAGGCGATTCCATGCAAGAGCAGGGCCAGGATGATGACGTGCTGCTGAAAATCCTGGAGCACATGAACCCTGAGACAGCAGAGAAGGAGGAGAGAGACCTTTACGGAAAAGCAGTCGGAGGCATGTAGCTACCAGGCATGGAGATGTGTTTGTTAAATATTATTTTAATGGGAAATAATATTTTGGAGAGACAATTAAATACAAATGAGATTAGCTCTTCGTGTGGCTAATTTCAAGAAACTGTTTACAGAGTCTAATTTGGTGTATTAGGGGTTTTAAATATTCTATTCGTTGTAGTTTCAGAGCTTGTGGTATTTGAAACGTTCTGTGGTTATAAGGACTAGGTATTAATGAGCACTCTATCTAATAAATGTGGCAGTAATGAGCGGCGGCTGGTGATTATTTGCGTAAACACAGAGACGTATCGGTGTCGGGTTTTCCGAGTCGTGTTTTCCTTAGGGCCAAAATTTTGTACGTGTAGTCAGTCATGTGTGTAGTGTATGGACTCAATAAAGCATTCACTGGTATTATTTTCTTCCTGCTGTGTGATGCTGTCTCATTTAACGCCAGGAAGGATTCAAACGCAGCAGCCTGCTCACAATCAGGGGTGTAGCATGAAATTCTGGGTGCGCCTGACAAAATGTCACCTTGGGCCCCCCTGCTAGGGTTGGCTCTTTCTGTCTGAGGAAATATGGGTCCCCCATGGTAAAATCTGCCAGGGTGTCCGTGCCCCACCGACACCCCTACTCACAATGCACGTATTATATACACATACATATAAATGTGTGTGTATGACGCATACAAGCCGTACATTGTAAATAGGGGTGTTGGAGGGGCACGGACACGCTGGCAGATTCATATATATATGTGTGTGTGTGTGTGTGTGTGTGTGTGTGTGTGTGTGTGCGCGTGTGTGTGTACGTACAATAAAAATCTAAAACATATCAAGGACTTTGAAGATCTAAAATTCACGGATGGGAGCGGAGTGGTTACTGCAAGCTTACTGCCCAATTCTGACCTTTTCTGTTGGATGACATCCATTGATTCATTGTGTTTCTGCTGCGTGCCTCACAGACAGTTGCATAAAGTACACAACACACATGGCTCACCCACAGGAAATGCTCCTTTATTCATAAAAAATAAGGCAATATCAAAGTGTCACAGCATCATTTAAAAGTTGACATTGACCCCCCCATGCTTAAAGGTACTGGGGTCCTGCAAATCTCTGAAAGCACCTCCAGGTAAAACCACTCATGTACCTTCAGAACCTGCATGTGGTTCCATCCACCCATTTTCTGAAACCACTTGACCTGTTCAGCCATGGCAGAGACTCGAACCCTGGTCCCTGAGGTATCAGGCAATAGTGCTAAACATTGTGCCCCCCGGGTGTGGGTGATTAAACAAAAATATAAATATATGAAAGAGGGAGTAAAACAGTGCAAGAATTTATGGGTGCAAAGAATTAATCCCACATACATTTGAGATTATTATTAGAGCCATAGCAAATGCTCATGCTCCACCAGTGTTCGAAACCCATTACAAAAAAAAAACAGCCATTAATAGTAACGTGAAAGCTGCTGATGCTGAAAATGCAGGCTGTTCAAAGAACATGATGTAAAACAAATGATATCTTTTCAAATACATCTCACAATTTCCCAATTTCCACCAGAAATCAACATTTAAAAAAATCAATCACAAAAGCAACTACATACATTTTTTACATCAAATATGTCCTCCCTTAAACCCCAACACATACTTTTGCCAAATGAAACTGATCAGAAATAGGCTTAAGATAAAATAAGGCCACCAGAGCACAGCTTTCACATTGTTCCGGTCTGCATGCAGCAGACCGATGTCCCCCTCGGGCCACCATGGGAGCAGTTATGCCTTTAAGACAGGAACGCCGGCAACTCCTGCAAATTCCCAGGGCGCTTCAGCAGTGTAGCTACAGTCATGGTCTAAAAGGCAGGCTTGCGCATATATTCCTCCATGGTCTATAAAGGAACAGAAAACAGATGCCTGTGTTTCAGTACAGTGTCACTGGGGAGATCAGTGAGCAGGGGAACTCATTTCACAACAGGGAAGTGGTAAGAGAGACTGAACGGGGAGGGGTGAGGTGAGGGGGGGGGGAGGCAGACACTCTGCTGATCCACAGCCTATCTGAAAGGCAAGTGGAACTTCATCACAATCCTCAGAGCTGTAGATATAATGGGGGGGGGGAATCAAGTGTCCACTACAAACTATTTATAATACAATTTTTGCTAAGATATTATGATCTATAATCTACAATATATCTTAAATTTGGATGATCGATAAACCAGCACAATACCCCCTCCCTCCAATCAACATCGACATCACTCCCGCCCCCACCTTGATTGGTAAGTTGTACCACTGGCACCCCACACTTTGATTAGCATATTACAGATGTTCCACCATTTTTAATTCCCTCTCGCTTCCCTTTCGGCTCCACATGACACCCCAAGTGGCCCCTTTAGGGCCCCCTACCCATGCCAGCCTAGGGCCCCCAGAGAAGTTAGTCCGCCCCTGTATAAACTAAAACATCACCGCCTGTGTAGCTCCAAGGAACACAGTGATAGGAGGATATTAGGTCTCAGAGCTTAGGCCTACATTTGTACCTCTGCGATCTGATTGGCTTAGTCCAACGAGAGCCAGCTGCTGATTGGAAGCAAGCAATAATCCTGCCCACTCACAAGGCACAGATCCACAGACATCTCAGTTAATCTCCACAGCTTCCGCCCCTTGCCTGGCCAGCTGGCCACCTGGCATCCCGGATATGTTCCCCATGGGCCGATGGGTATCTGGGCTAGCAAAATGTTTCATGGAAAACAACACTGCAGGGCTGATTATTAATCCCAGCCCAGCCCTCACCTCCTGCAGCAGGTCCGACTCCTCCGTGGACTTCACCACCAGCAGCTTGGACGTCTCCTGCACCTCGCCCCCCAAGAGGAACTCATCCAAGATGAAGTAGGCTTTCTCAAAGTTAAAGATGATGTCCAGCTCACACACCTGAAAGCAGGTTAGACGTCATTAATTGCGGGAACAAATTGACTATAACAACAAAAAATCTTTCAGACCGTTGTGGACCATGAAAACATTGTAAACTGAAACTTGTCAGGTTAGGATTAATGGATGGATCAATAGATAAAAATAGTACTGCTTGTACGTCACTTTTGTCTAAAGTGACGTACAAGTGAGATATATTGTATGGACAGGTAGATTTATGAATGTTCACAACATTTTATGCCATTAAGCAGTTATGACAGAAACGCATCCATAAAACGGTTTCCAATAGGGCCGCGGTCTGGCCGCTGTACCAGCCGACAGTCTGCTGTAAACAGGAAGCTTGTGTCATGAGAGTGACCGGGATTGAGCCTCTTCAAACGCCCCCCGCCCTCCCCTTCGCGGCAGCCTGAACGTCTGGCTCTTACGTTGCCAAAGTACTTGTCCAGGAGCTCCACGTAACGATGCATCACCTCCAGTGCCAGCAGCTCGTTATCGGGGTCCTCCAGAGCACTGCAGAAATAGAGGCTGGCGTACCTGCAGGGGGCAGCAGGGGGCAGTGTAACAGGATAAAGGAGCAACACACAGCCTACGATGTTCATTTAAAATAAACACAGGGGAAAAATAGAAAGAATTCGCTTGACTCAGTCTGTATATCCTCCTGAGACCCAAGGAAAAAAATGTCCTTCAATTTAGGTTATTTGTCTTTGGAGGAAATAAGACATCTTACAATTTAGATTTTTTCAAATTTATTTTATTTTTAATTTCACAGCATGTCCTCTTTAGTGTACAACAGGAATAAATATGTTTCCTTACATCAGTGAAAAGATAGATGCAAAAATAAAATGTCCACTACAATGGACATAAATGAATGGGTGGGGTCTCAGGAGGATACTTAAAGCGCTGGCCTGCCAATCTGAGCTGTGGCAGGACAGTATCAACACTTTAGATACACAAAAACAGAGCATGACCAGGTAAGCAGTTGTGCTGGTCCCAAACACAGGGACAGATGTGCGCGCGTGCACGCACACACACACACACACACACACACACCTCTTATAAACAATCTTCAGGTCCCTCCAGTGGATAACGCTGCAGCAGCGGGGGCTCCTCGCCAACACCATCATAGTCATGTCGCGCACGATCTTGCGCCGCTCTCTCTCCGGCAAGGGAGTGAACCACTTCTGCAGACGCAGCTTTCCCTGGCGGCTAAACAGCAGCAGGAAGCGCATCTGCGGGACGGAGCACCCATACATGGCTAATTGCGTCTGCGCAATCATGTACCCAGACTGAGACACAGACACAAACACCACCCTGAACTCGGGTTCATACGAGGACAACATACAGTTTCTTTCCGTTTCTATGCATATTTTAAATACACACTATTCATAATAAAATTTCTCTATGACCCCCCCCCCCTTCCCAATTTCACGTAAATACATCCAATGCCGAGGTTAAAACACCAAAGCAGCATTTCTGGCCAAGCACAGTCTCTGAAAACCCTTTACCTCTAACCAGCCCAGCTGAATGCGAAGGGAAGCGGAGCTCTGATACTGACACGGCAATAAAGAGTAACACGTTGGCGAGGAACTAAACAAACACAACAAAACGCAACATAACTTACAGTACACTGGCATTATGTCGAGTACCTGCACATGACAGCACTCATACTGCTCGTTCCGAAACGACAAAATTGGGGTTAGTGTGTATAGTGAAATCTGTTTGTTTGGATATTTAAATGTCACCTTTTATGCAATTATAAGTATTTATTTAAAGGTCCACTAGAAGTCGCTGAAAGAAGTGGAGAAACCTATAGAACTTAAAGAAAGTAGGAATAACTTCCTATATTTTTGATTGTATTATCAGTCCACGCATAGTTTGAATCTGAAAGGGAGAAATGTGTATTTGCTGATAAAATAAGTCCATTATTAAGAAACTGGTGAGAGGAAGAAAGAGGTGAAACAACCAGGTTTGCTGTACTTATTGCCTGAGGCTATCATTAGTAAACATTAGGGGACATGTCCTAGTTTATCAGTTACGAGTACTCAACCATTTTCAACATGCTTCAGAAAACACTAGAGCGCGAATTATGAATGCTATCTCTGCTTTATCGCCGGTCCTCAGCATCAACCAGTATATTTTCAAAACACAGTAATAATCGGATTCAGATGAAACCCATTGTTGCGTTCACATGTTCAGTCTTAATTTTCCGCCACAGTAAATAATACAGATTACAGTCGAATAAATGTTGTTCCCATCCACTCGCATACGACCATACATGGCCACCTGCTACGTACAGGTAAATGAGCCGGTCGGAAGTAGGATTAAGCCCCAAACAAGAACGACACTTTCCAAGTTACAATGAAGAGATATTAAACCCGTCAACTCACCATTTTACCACCTCTACCGCCCTCCCAATCGGATGCCTGTCTCACACCGCTGGTGTCTTAAACTCCTTATTTCTTGCCCAAGTTCGGTACCGTCTTTCCCAGAATCCACCGGTTAGAACGTCGAGATACTCAGTCTTTCTGGCCAATCAGAGTGGAACTTCCCGTTACGTCATTTGAATGCAAGCACCAGATTGGTGCACACCTGTAGCACATAGAAAAACACAGCGATTCACTGTCAGTCAGATTTAACCTTCACTAGAAATAGGGGAAAAGGTCATGAAACAAGGGTGACCAGTAACTATGTATAAATAAGCAAGTCGTGCTTGAAACCTGCTTATTGACTGAGCTATTCAGTAGAACTGCACTTCTGTGGTCTTTTATAAACCACAAAAGGGCGGTGGCAGTAACGGATGTGAAAGCAGAGCAGAACGACATAACCAACCCATATTTTGCTCAAGTGAAACTGCTTTTGTATCTGGCGTTATCTGATAATGCAAAGCATTGCTGTTGCGACTCGAATGCACTCGTTCAAACCGATGAATAAATGTAATTGAGTTTCGGAGCTGCACGCAAAATATTGTGACATTGTTGCTTTTGTAAACCAGGAAAAATGCGTATAGCCACGTTAAAATCTTGCAAATTGCACAACCAATCCACAGTACGAATACAGTAAGGACTCGAGAAATAGCCACCCCTTGCAGTTGTAGTATTTTATTTTCTGCGGTCTGATTGATGCAGCCAGGACTAAAGACGTCATGAAGACATTAAGGTCAATGTGGATAGGCTAGTCACAGAGCGAGCGGTGCGACAATCACTCTATCAGCCACCGCTCGGTAGACGGTGCTCCCATCCGGCATAAAGCCAAACGCACGTGATCCCGGCCGGCGGAGGGTGCAAAAGCCACCGAAGACCAATCGAGGTAGAAATGTCTCTATATCGGAGTAGCATCTGGTATTTAAAAGGGCTCAATGAATACACAAGGTAAGATGCGCTCCCATTAAAAGCAGACCACGTGATTTTCTATAATGAAATAATGCATTTGATGCGAATGGAAAACTTGTCGCAAAGTTGTTCTAGTTACTTAAGTGCCTTTTAGTTCAATCAGTAGTTGACCTTATTTTCCATTATGAGCGGCCACTGGAGCAGGACCATTACATAAGTTGATTTATATCTGCCTTATTTTAAGCGTGGACGCCGTGTGGCGGAGCGATCAAAGCGGCTATCAGTGCGAGTGTCCCATATGTGTCACATATTTTTTATATTGTCACCACTGCACAGAAGATAAACTGATGATCTGCTCTCGATATTGGCGTGAAACTGAACTAATGTCACCGATTATAATCCCGTCTGATTTAATTCCTTAAATATGTTGGAGCGATGAGAGTAAAATTGGGGTTTTTATTTCAATGAAAAGTATTATTCCGTGAAATAAAATCTACGCGCGTTTTGTTACTTATGCAACCTCAAAGTGCGCTTACGATGAACTTTTAATTAATTAGAATAAATTATTACTTTTAGTATTTGTATTGTTTTCATCATCATCGTCGTCATCATCATCTCACTTTTCCTGGTGAGGTAAAAAGCTGCACGTTATGCTTGCATGTCATGGGATCAGCGCGCGTGTTAGGCTGGTAATGACGGCGAGGCTTCACGCTGCCCGAGGCAGGAGGGGCCACATGTACTTGGTGCGGTGTCCACAGGCCTTAAGTAATTATGGAACAATGACCTGTTAGTTGGTGTACTGATGACCTGCTAATGACCTGATCAGTAAATCAACTAATTGGCTAATCCTCTTATTATTATTGTTATTATTATTATACTTTTAAAAGTGCTATGATTTATGGTGGATTCATTTATGTTAAGGTTGTTTATATGTGAAGTTCACGCTGTGTTTTTCTGTTTTATTGATATTTTTCGTTCCTTCATAAACACAGAGCTTTCTTTCCCATCACATTCCCACACAGTGCAACAACACAGAGTGCTTTTTACCCAAAGGATTCCAGGCTACCCCCCGCCCTCTGTCCCCCGCCCTCCGCCAGACCGCTGCACAATCAGCCTTCACACTCGCTCTGTCTGTTGTTGCGGAGCCGTCAGAGGCGTCCTGTTCCTTCCCAGGCTCAGGCTCCATCTGAGGCTGCTACCTGTGAAATGCAGTGTCCCGGGGTGCTGGGCGAGGGGCTATCAGTGGGGAGACAGGCCCGGAGACGGCGCCGGGCGGAAACACGGAGGCTTCAGCAGCCAGGAAACACAAAAACCAAAGGGAGTGTGGGGTTGGTCTCAGAAGGCCTGACGTCAAAGTCTGGATCAGGCCTTGGGGCACGGGCATGTGTGCTGCTGGGGGCAGAAGCTGGCAGTTTACTCATATTCTCTAACGATTTCCAGGAAGACAAACCATTTTCTCCTATTTTGACAATTTAATTTAAATCAATCAATCATTCAATCAGTTTATTTGCATAGCACATTTTCAAACCAATTTCCATTATAATTTAACATGCATGGGTCACGCAGATTAATAAATGTGTTTTAGGGGTGCCTTTGAGTCTGCAGCCAAACGTTTTGTGGAGAAGGACTTGGAGGTGTCTGTGGCAGGGAGATCCTTCATGATCACTGGTGCCAACAGTGGGATCGGGAAGGCCGCGGCCATCGTCATCGCCAAGAGAGGTCGGCGAGCCTTGTGCCCCGCAGAGTCAGACTCTCTGTGTCAATGACATCAACCTAGTTCTTTAGTAGATAAAGCACAAATATTCAGATGCAGTTGTTTCCCCCCCCCCTCCATTTTTTACAGGTGGTACGATCCATATGGTGTGCAGGAACAAAGACAAAGCTGAGGAGGCCAGGGCAGAGATTGTCAAGGAAACTGGGAACAAAGTGAGTTTGGGATGGCTGAATGGTGGGGTGAGCTCTACAGGAGCTCTGCTCCATCACTGCCCACGTCGCCCTTTATCGCTGCTAAACATTGATACATAAATACATAAAAATAAGTACAAACCCTGTTTTAAAATTGTTTTTCATTCAGGACATTTACATCCATATCCTGGACTTGACAGAGACGCGAAAGGTGTGGGAATTTGCGGAAGCTTTTAAGAAAAAATTCAAATCCCTCAACGTACTGGTGGGTATCCAGACAAGGCCTCCTAGTGAACACTATGCCAGTGGTTCTCTGAAATAAAAGCTTGGCTCCTTGATGGGACCTTTGAATGAGAGCTTTGTGGTCCTGTTATGACAGATCAACAATGCTGGAAGCATGCTTATGCAGCGCGAGCTCAACGCAGAAGGTCTGGAAAAGAACTTTGCCTGCAACACCCTGGGTAAGAGCCCCACCCTCAAACAAATTCTGCCGTACTGGGCTTCTTGTGCGACATGAGTGCAAACTGGTCAAGAAACAGTAGAAAAGAAAATGGAAAAAAGAGTGGAAGTAAAGGCCTTAGCGTCCTTGAAAAGTATGACGGTTTTATGCGGCAGGGGGGACGAGGCATCGTTAGCCCCAAGCGGAGTTATGCTGTCATCTTCTGCCTCTTCCAGGGACGTACATCCTCACCAAGAATTTGATTCCCCTTTTGGAGAAGAGCGGTGACCCCCGTGTGGTGAGTAAGCAGGGCCCGTGCAGGGGTGCATTCTGGGAGCACGTCTCACGCCAACATGCGGCTGTTGCGCAGGAAATCCCACGACACCTCCTGCTGTGACGCGTCCTGCAGGTCCAGGCTGAAACACCCCCTCTCCCACATGCACTTTGAAATTGTTAGTGGCCAAAATGGGACAGGTCACTTTCAGTGCACCAGAACCATCCCCACAGTCCAAAGCTCTGTCAGAGCAATTTTATAATGACTGTTTTCGCCCGAAGAGATGCTGTTTTTGTGGCCAAATACCTACTGCAGTCCAGATGGAGCCTCTGAGACGTGGAGCACAACTATAATGAATTATATTGGAGCTACTGGCTGACATTGACGTTAATGCACCATCTGTCACAGTGGGAGTATGGAAACAGCGTGCTTATATTATAGCCTTAATCACATCTTCTTATGCATCCCACAAACAAATGGCTGACAGAATCCCCAGTAATTAAGCATCAATTTTTTTTTATTCTCAGAAGTAGGCGTTGCCTCTTATCCAACGACCTTGTATCCTGAGAAGACCACAGCGGGTCACAGCGGCATTCTTCATTGTCCCTCATTGTTGGCACCATGCCGTGCCCTTTGTGATGCCCTCGGAATTGCTGCTCTTCCGCAGATCATGGTGTCCGCAGGAATCATGCTAGTGAAGAAGCTCCGTGTCGGGGACCTGCAGTCTGAGAGGGGCCGCTTTGATGGAACCATGGTCTACGCACAGAACAAGGTACCGGCGGCACAGGCAGCGCCAGGAACGGGCTCACGGCTGGGGCGATTGTTCTCAGAAAATAATGGGCTTTTCATGTCCATACATTCTCGGATCATAAGTAGAACTCGATCGCACCATTAGTATTTAAGCAAGTGCTATATACAGCACCTACAGTGTACAGCAGGGGTTCTCAGAGTCCAGATGTGGACCGAACCGCAAATTCATCCTGACCCAGTCAATAATGCACCTTATGAATCAATATGGTGAACGTAGAAAGACTTGACGTGGTTTGAAGTACAAAAATACAATGTAGAATCACCAAATTTCACACACACGTAACTCATAACCACCCCCCGCCCCAATGACAGAGAGTGGAAACAATCAATGCGCACTAAAAAGTTTCATTTTTGTTATATATTGTGTTTATATGGAAGATATTTTTTGTTAATTCATTACATTTTATGAAAGGCTGTTTTGTTATTGAAAATGGTTAGGGACCTCTGATTTTGAACAAAAATCCGATGTGGAGCCTGAGAACCCCTGGCAAGTAGCGTTCTACATATACGACTTAATCCAGCCAGCTCCTGATATTTAGCAGCCAGCATCATAAAATGCCCCAACACATGATACATTATCAGTGCCAGTCAAGCTCTTAATGGTGTTCAGCTTCTCCCAAGCCAGTGATGGACTAATCACATTGAGTTTGGGAGTAGAAGCCCTGCCATCTCCTCTCTTCTCCATGTGTAGGTGACCCCTCTGATGAAGCTCTCTCATCATTTCCTCTCCAGAGGCAGTTGGCGGTGATGACGGAACAGCTGGCTAAGACCCACCCTGGCATCCACTTCTCTCTCATGCACCCCGGCTGGGTAGATACCCCAGGTACCAACACCCACGGCACTGCCTGGGCACTCATTTTGGGGGGGGGGGGGGTCATTTTCAGCCCTTTAGATTTCTATGGCCTTATTTGAACCATGTGTTCTTTAGCCTATCCTACACGGGAACGATGAGTTGCGGCCCGGTCTGGTCCGGTCCAACACTAGTGGTTCTGTCCTCTTCTGGTGTCCCCTGACAGCAGTGGCCGAAGCCATGCCGGATTTCCACCGATCCATGCGGAACAAGCTGCGGAGCCCGGAACAGGGAGCCGACACTGTGGTCTGGCTGGCCGTGTCCGAGGCCCCCGCCGCCGCCAAGCCTGCCGGCCTCTTCTTTCAGGGTGGGGGCCTTTTTCATGTTTAAAAGAGCACGGGCTAGTGTTTCAGGACTTACCGGATAAGGGATGAAACGGCCGAATGCCTTTGGAGGCCGGACATAAGAGCCAGGAGGGGTGACATTCATTTAATTAACGGGGGGCATCTCAGCACCGTGACGGGGGCAGTCATGTGCCGGTGCTGTTTTAGGCCCGGCTCCAGATCCCACCACGGCCAAGTCACCGTCATAATGGCGACGATTGTCTGCCCTCCAGCTTCTACTGTGGCCGTGGAATATTGGCTGCTTCTGAGGTCCACATTCCCTCAACACGGTCCCATCTGAGCCCCACAGAACCGGCCGCACTGCTCAGAGAATTAAGTGCTGTTGAAAGAGGCCATAACAGTTGGGGGGGGGGGGGGGGTGCAAGGGGGGGGGGGGGGGTGGGGGGGGGGGGGGGTGGG